ACCTGAACGTTCCCATGATATATATCTTATTTAATTTTACACAAGGGTTGCTTGAAAAAGATCGCTCTATAGTGATAAGCCGCACTCCAATTGTGGAGTCCTTCTCAGTTATGGAGTGCAATGCCATAACTTGTAAGAATAATTTATTGTTATAACTTGAATTATTGGATTTTTTAAGGAAACATGTATATATACTTTGTGTTTGTGTGAGTTGCAATAAAGAATTAAATAAATAAATAAAAATTAATAAATACCTATTTTTATGATAGAGAAGGACAAAGAAGCTGGAGTTCATTTGATGGTATCAAATTCTTCAAGGCCATATAACGTATAAGCAATATACGCTGTCGACCTATTTTGGCTTTGGATATTTGGAAATCCACAGAAACCGGAACGTGATTAGTGAAGCTTAATGGATGCTTTATCTGTAGACGGTGGTTTGCGACCCAGACAGAATTTCGATATTCCTACCACGCATTTAATATCCAGTCTATACCAATATATGTTTTAGAAAAATTATAAATTAATTAAAAACATGGTGGTCCTGGTGGGGATCGAAAATAGGGCCCGTTGCTTATTAGTCATACATTGCTCCAACGAGCCTGTCAAACAAAAGTTACATGTGTGGACACATACACATACGTGATGTTTATACGTGTTTTTTTATATTCTGTTTATAGTGCAGTTACATAAGTCTTATGATCATATAATTTTTGAATTCATAAGGATTTAAATATTATTATTCTACGAAGACCTTGTTATATCACCCTATTAGAATATAAGCGATGTAAAAAGCGTAAGTATTATGGACTGGAGTAGTGGATAATGAGAATGACCGTCATTTTGTATCCCATCCAACATCGAGCCAGTAATAGGATTCTAAGGAGACCCTTAGGATGAACACACAATTGTACGTTTTATATATATATATATATATGTACGTATTAAGTTATAAGGTAATTATTTGTATCATAAAATACCTTGTGTAGTTTGTATTTCTTGAAAATGTTATTGGTATTTCCATGCTGGCACTATTAACTGTGATAGAATGATTACAGTTACGAAATTTTGCTCATGCTAAAAAAGATTTAAGATGACATAATGTGCACTATCATTTTAAAATTTAACATTTCATAAATTACTAAGTATTATTTTATCTGTTTTATATTCGTTTCAATAAAATTGGTTTCTTTTATATAATTAACATAAGATCACAATTTTTATCATATTATATAGAAAACGCCAAACCAATAATACGCCAAACAATAGTAATTCAAAATATCGTCGTATAAAAGTCCCCTTCGAAGTAACAGGGGAGATCTTAATTTTAAGAAAAAAAAATACAGTTAACCAACTACACATTGTTGTAATTGTAATAAAAGGTTGCATGTAACTCGTTATTCTTTTTACTAGAGTTATTATTCAATCAAATTGAAGCGTTAGTATGCATGTACAAAAACGGTCGCCAGTATATCAATTCGACGCTCACCTTTATAACATATTCAGCATTTACCTGGGCAGTTGGACAAAACGATTAACGACGCGTAAACTGATTCAGTTCGCAGATTTCCGTTGTAGGCCAGGGGAACGTAATTTACATATTTGTTAACATAGGTAAGTCTCTGGACTGAAACGTCATCACTTATAATCACAAGAATGAACATTATTCAAGTAGTCTTTTTGAAACGAAGTGATTCGATTTTTAAACTACAACCAAAATGCTTCTAATGTCAAATGGAAATCAATGAAGTTTATCTCGAAATATATATATTTTTTAATAACGAAAGCATATCAACTTAACACTAAACAATTAATAATTTGCTAAAAGAATATTATTCTTTTATTGTTATAGAGGACAGAGAAGCATGAGTTCACTTGATGATAAGTAAAATACCGCAACCATATGACTTCTAAAGTAATTAAGCTTTGGAAATTCGTCAATCCACCGGCTGAAGCCGAAACGCGATTAAACTTCACGCCTTCGTGACTCGGATGAAATAAAATTTCTAAAACCAGTCAATACAAATTCAAACTCAGAGTAGATGCATTTAAATAAGACTGTGCAACTAATTAAAATAATTATCAATTATGTATCAGTGCCGCTTTCACGTAACAAGCTCATTAAAAGCGTGTACCGTCAGCAAAAAATGTGAAACGAAATAACAGCACAGGGAGTTTTATAGGCCATTAGTAAAGGGTAAAAGTAAATTCGTTGGAACTAAAATTGCGCCTTGAAATCGCTATCATTAGGGTAACGAGGGGCTGTGCTGACGGCGCACTGAGGGTGTCCACTTTTATAAAGGTGAGTGCACACCTGCGCCAAACTAAAGATCCAGCTTTAGACCATAGTTATGCAAAGTACGCGTGAAACAAGTGGCTCGAAATTATCTTTTCTAATCTATACTTTTACGACAATGCTTTAAGTAGTTTCGTTATACAATAGATGACATTGTTGGACTCATTCAATTTCAAACTCTTGTTTAATTAATTTTTGTTTTATTAATTGGGTCCTCCCATTCTTCCCCATCTGTTTCAGCCGCTTCCCTCTACAGCAGAACTAGCTTGCAGAAGGTGACGACCGCTTTCCATAAAACATGCGCGAGGCAATACTGGGCAGGGAGAGGCCATTACCGGTGATCTGATGAGGTCATGACGTTGTTGTACCCAGGCAAAGCATACCTCTAGAGAATCTCGGTAGCAGCAAATACTAACCACGGACGATTTCTAGGTAGGACTAGTCTTTTGACCAATATAATAAAATCTTTGGACAAACATTGTCAAGGTCGAGAGTTGTAAGAAGTTGAATTCTATTATGTGAATCCACTCTTGTATAACGCCATACAAGTGGTTATATTTAAAAAATGCAATTTAAATCAATATAATGAACGCAGCCTTATCTGAAGCAATGTGTGAGTACCCTAACAACTAATGAACCGAGGTATTTTGTACTACAAATTTGTAGTTGCATTTGGATTTAAAATTGTGGCAATTAGCATTCTTGTTTAGTGTGGCCTTTCATACACTTTAATAACCCACACATTAAGTGCCTATGTGAGTGTACAGTAGTTTTTTTGTTACTGTGGACGTTCCATGAAAAACAAAGGAGTGTTAGTTAAGCCCAGTTTCACATAGTCGTTGCGGAAATATTGATTATATTATGCTTTCTCTGGAATTTCAACTCTGGATGTCACGTACAATTTACAATAGAACTACAACGGCGCGGGCGGTAAGTAGGAAAAACAATCTTTAGATAAATCGCTTAAACGGTATAAAACGCGTTATATTTTAGTTAAACGGGGAGACACGGCTGCTGCAAAACATCCGAAACGTTGGCCCGTAGTGAAAAAAAATTCCACATTTAACTAAAATAATTCGCGTTTTAAACCGTTAAAGTGTTTTATTTAAATCTTTAGGTTATTTAAGTTTAACGCGACTAGGACAGATTTATTTAAAACACTTTCACGCGACCACATCTACCAAGCATCCAAAACGTTGAGTTTAAAATAATTTGTAAACAAATTAATTGACGTATTTAAACCGTTAAGCGTTTTATTAAAAAAAAACGTAACGTAACCTTTCATCACGGTTCGCCATAGAACATATATATAATAACGGATCATATTATATATTAATATTAATTATAATGATATTAACCGAACAAAACGATCACAGTTCGGTTTGCTTATCTTTGACCCTACAAGTTGACATAAACTATACATACTAGCAAGTCACGATAACATAAAAAAGCAGTACTTTTAAATTCGCCTCACAAAGTTTACATTAAGAAACATCTGTTTAATACATAACTCGAGATGTTTAAAAACCGGGAGTTTACCCTGTCTAAAATATATGAGAAAAAGGGAAAATTACGTTTGTTCATTATTTTTCCGTAAGCTTTCCATATTTGGTCGGCGGCTCCGTCATTTCCTGACTATGATTTATCTTGCTAGCCGAGGGTCATTTTAATAAATGCTTTCAGAAAACGGGAAACATTTCTGAGGAAAAATTATAAGATGTGTTTCCTAAGCTATGGAGACGGTCGTTTCATTAATTATTTTCTGAAAGCATTTTCTTATTACATTACACTTCGCTAATGCTACTGCAGAATAATGCTAATGTAGATAATTACTGAAAAACTTCATTCTTATTCATATTATTAAGAGGCATATCTGTCGTGAAGAAATACTGTTTCGTTTACTTAGTAAAACTTACCTTTATTACATAGTAACATTTATAAACTAACGTTCAAAATAAGTAATTGTAACATTGGAATAAAATTGATGTCAATAATTATCCACCTAATTATTATCAAAAGTAAATAACATCAAATAATATATTTGTAATTACATCATACTCGTTTTTGAACATAATGACAGTTGGTATAACAAATGCCTTAATAATAAATAAAGAATAATGTTTTACCACGTTTATCGTAATAACATAACCGTATAATAATTTATTATGTTGTTATGAATCCGAAAAACTAACGACCCTCTTTCATATTTAATGACCATAACTAAAGTAAGCTCAAGAAATAAATTATCTCTCCAATAATAAATATTATTTAAATAATAGCTCTCAACAAGCCAAGTAGGGGCGAAGAAATACTGTATTTACAAATACTTACGATCTCAAAATAACGTATTAGGCACCGTATGACACACATAGCAAAAGTCGGCGTTTACAAAAATGAACGTTTCGGAAACTTGGGTTCCAGTGCGCCGGCGCGAAGTCTGATCCTCCCGAACGCCGTAGTTAGGCCAGACACGTCGTCGCCGCCGGCCATGCCGCTCTTCTACTAACAAATGTGCGTTACGCTAGTCACGTGCTCGGTAGCCTTCTCTCGTCCACCGATTCCGCCAGGTGAACACTCGACTTGAGTGACAGGACACTCAAGCGAACTTCACGGTCCACGAAGCTATGCATTTGCCAGACTCTGAAATGCTCTGCCAAGTGCACAAACATCTTATTTTCAACCCAGCGTAAGTTTCAAGTGCGAAATGGCTTTTAAAGTGTACTTGATTGTTCTTATACTGTGGATTGTGAACACTAAGTGCTATGTATGTAATTCGAACTGTTCGTATACCATCTTCGTGAAGGAGAGTGGCCAACAAATACGATGTTGTGAAAACTCATCGATACCAACCAATAAGACTTTCAGAGCAGTGTCTGTTCGGTTCAGTGAAAAATGTGATTTTAATGATATCTCTCTCGACGAACCATTCTTGGACACGTTTTCAGTTAGTATAACAAATAATACCATTGCAAATTTAAAAATAACCGTGAAGCCGAACAACTTACGTGAAATGAATTTGTCGTCGAACAAATTGCATTATATCAACAAGGATCTCTTTAGGAACTACACAAACCTTCGTGTATTAATTTTAAGCAAAAATAACATCTACAAAATATCGTCTGATAGTTTCGTTGGACTAAACAAGCTGGAGAATCTGGATTTATCAGAAAATAACTTAAGTAAACTAGAAAACATATTTACTCCTCTAAAAAATCTCCAACACCTGAATTTAAGTAGGAACAACATTGAGTTCATTCTTGAGAATTACTTCAACAATTGGCTTCTGCAACATTTAGATGTATCGCACAATAACTTAAGGAAATTAGCACCGGGGGCTTTGCAGTTACTGCCGAATTTAGCTCGATTACTACTGACAGATAACCCGCATTTGGGGATTACACAGTTGGATACACAATTGTTAGTTGGCACCGGCCGCAGACTACAGCAGATCGATGCATCGAGAACCGGATTATACCAAGTCCCTGAAGCGTTCACACATTCCGTACGATTTCTATCACTGGTCGGAAACCATATAACTTCGATAGGGTGCGGAGATCTCGATAGCTATCCTTTATTACAATCGTTAGATTTCTCTAACAACAAAATCAAATCTATTGAAGAAGACTCTTTAGGCAGATTAGAAATGCTTCTATTTTTAAACTTGAATAAAAACTCTTTAAGCGTAGTCCCCAAGTCATTACCTGATGAATTAAAGTATCTGTCAATAAACAACAACATTATTAAAAACCTAACTATGTTAGATTTCAAGGATCTACCGAATCTACGTATTCTGCTTCTAAAAAGCAACGAAATATTATACATTGAAGACCACGTTTTCGACGATTTATTATCTCTGGAAATATTAGATTTATCAAACAATCCGTTACAAATGCTGTCGCCGAGCACATTTGATGGACCGCTATCTCTTCGTGATCTGAGATTATGTTACTTGAATATTTCCGTGCCTGCAAAAGATGGCTCCTTTCCAATGTCGTCTCCAGAAAGTGTACAAATGTTACATCTACAATCAAGTCCAGGCCTCGCCAGACAGTTTTTAGCTGACTCAGCTGCCCTTGCTGCCTTCACCCACTTACAATATTTGGATTTGAGAATGAACAATTTACCTAACATAAGGAACGACTTACTGTTCTATCTAGTACAATTGAAAACTTTAAGATTACATGGAAATAAAATTAACTGCAGCGCTGAGTTATGGCTGTCAGACTGGATGAATTGGAATAAAAGTTTGCTAAACAATGAAACGTGTTACTATTCAACTTCTGAGGCGAAAGCGGAGATAAACAAATATAATTGTACCTTCCCTGAAACTTTTACGATAAACGAAAGTCTGCCACCCGTTAATTTGTATAGCACAGAAATGATAAATAAATTGTTGAGATATTACGGTTATTTAAGCAATAAAACGGAGAGGACGTCCTTAAAACATACTTATAATAGCTTGGGCAGCAAAGGCCACGAAATTAATGCAAATAAGACTTTTGTTTCGACCCTTGAAAAAAAAAGCTCCCATTAATAATAATACAAAGAGGAATGATGAAAAATTGAAAGCTGAGAATATAATTCAACATAAACACCACACTGAGACACAATTTGAATCGAGAGAATATCTAAAGGTCTCAGCCAAAAACGACGTAGCCATTGACAGTGTGTTGCAAACCGATCTTCTCATATCAAAGGCTCCAAATAGAACTCAATATCGTGAAAACATATCGGGAAAATTATTGAGTCCACCTGTAGGCACTGAGGAGTCTATTACGAACCTCTATGAGGAAAATCAATACCGGCTCAATAGCACTAGCAATAGTACTTATACCACTCCAAATAACATGGAATACTCACATTACCAGCCTCCGAGTCATTTCGGACAATACTTTGGGATAGTTGCCGTATCGTGTTTGATTATTATGTCTTTGGTCCTGTGGCTCAGTATACGATTGAGGTATAAAAGAAGGCATGCTCCCAGCGTGGACGGAGGGGGTGAGGAGCAGATAGAAGTGTCGAATATATCCGGGGGGGTGCTGTGGTGACATTTACGAGCAGCCGATCCGATGCCATTTGAATACGACTCTCTTTTGACATAGTACTTAAGTGAGTATTTGAATTCTTCTCTTTATCGCTATGTCGACGTTAGTGGCTTCATTTGTGTGGTTTTATGTAGTCTGGAAGGTGGATTTTATTTCAAACTATGACTATTTCATAGAATCGTGATGGTTTAAGGGTTGGTCTACTACGAAAGCTTAGTAAAATAGAGTTGTACAGCAAATAATAAAGATAGCAGTGAACTTATTTTTTTAGTAACAAATCTTAGTAAAGATTTATTGATGGGACACGAACCCACGACCACGCGATTCCCTATCAAATAAGCGACATTGAGTTTACAACGCTCAATTGTATGATAACAAACGTAACACACTGCCTCAGTTGTTAGAGGTACATCACATAAAACTATAGGCCGTGAGTTCAAGTCGCGCGTATGTCATTTTTTAAATTGAATTTTATATTTAAATATTTTTTTTTCCAGATAAAAGAGGTCGGCTGCAATCTTATCTAATGTGATATAACTGGACGTACATATTTTTCTATGAATAAGTACAAATAGATATCTATAAGTCAAGTACTTATGTATGGTGTAAAATTTGTAAATACTTGTAAGCCTTATTTTTTTTTATGATCTCTGTATATAGTATATAAGTGTATATATGGTACAATTTAATAGTTACAAACGCGTTGTAGCATATTGATGACTTGGTTGATTGGACAGACACATAATTTCTATCAATATAGGTAATGTGTCTGTACATTTAAAAATATTTAAATATATTTGTATGTACAGGATTATCGCCAAAAGGAAATTTTGGTTCTTTAAGAGGTCTTGGCTCGGTCTCAATTTTATTGAAAATGATTCAAGTGGAAAATTGAATAGTAATAAAAAATGATGAGACAGACCTCTAAATTAATTCTTAAGAAATAGTGTATTTATATAATATGAGGCCGATAGAGGCAGAGTAGCCTAACTGCAATTTTGTGACTTGAGTTATTTATATTTTCATAGTCTAAAAATGAAAACCAAACAAGGGCAAAGTGGCCGAAAATCGTTAACATCATTTTTAGACACAAAATACAAATTCATTTTCGCCTTAATTAATTGCGCATTTTTATTGTCCTCTTTATCGAAAAACGTGTTTTTCATTATTAGGCCACTCTGCCTCTAGCAGCCCCATATTATCCGTCAATATGCTATAAAGTAATTGTATATAATCATGTCAACTTATAATGTCACATAGATCATGTCTTCCCTTTTAGACTGACCGCACGCAAGATAAGTTATTATTTTAAAATCCACAGATTATAAATAAAAAGTTACAGTCATTATAAATAAAAAGCTTACAAGGCCTGAAATAACCTGAGTAAGCTGTTTGTCTACCAACTTGCTACACAACATATTATTATGACTATGTTGTTATAGTATAAGTTTATAACACTTTTATTTAGATTTTTTGTCTAGTTATAAGTTTATTATGTAATTTGTGGCATGTGATAGTGTATTTGTTGTGATTCCTTTACATATTTTGATACTTTTAAATTAATTTATCTTGTATGCGGATGTCTGAACCTCTAAAATAATTTAAGTGCCAAAATTGCTAATATTTCTTATGAATAATAGTATATGACCTCTTCTAGGAACTATTGAAGGATGTCTACGTGTAATCTTGTTATAAGTTAGAGATATTATTTTTTGTAACATAAGAAAATGTAACTTACCGTACTTAACTATTACTAGTTATTTTCATGTTCATTCCTACGTAAGTTTAATTGCTTGGATTATCATTTTGCATATATATTTTGATGCTAAGCGCGTTATTGTTACTCTATACTAATATATAAAGCTGAAGAGTTTGTTTGTTTGAACACGCTAATCTCAGAAACTACCGGTTCAAATCGATTGATTTAAAAATAAGCGATTGCTTAAAGCATTTACCGGGGAAGGCTATACGCTATAAAACATCGCTCTGTGACTAATAATGTGAAAAAAATTGGGAAAATTATTCATCATTTTGGGTTTCCGAAGTGTACGCTGCAAAAACGGTTCAAGACACCCCAAAAATATGGATCAAAGAATGATTCCACTTTAAATGATCTAAAAAAAATCCCCGGCGTTATATGTCTTTTTTAAGGTTATCTTGCAAGAACGATGGAAAGTGACGCACATCCTTTAGTTTATAAAGATGAAGGGGTTTTCAAAAACAAATTCCCAAAATAAATATTCTTAGCGGAAAGTTGCTGAAACAGCTAGTTTAACAATATGCCTCTTTGTCACTTGCATACGACAATAATATCTATTCTATCGGCAATTAAATCTATTCGTATATCAATTCAGACATTCTATATTTCACAATTGTTTGACATTAATGTATGCTTCATTAAAATCTTAGTCCACTTACCGCTCCTTTAATATAATTTCTCGTTAATCCTTTATCCGTCCCCACTGCTGGGATTGGGTTTCCTAAGTGTCTGGATATCCGTGTCAGTTAAGTAAATGTCATGTCACTATTCACGTAATTGAGCCGGGCTGGAATCGACCTCCCGACCCTAACCGGTAGGTTTAGTATGTGCGCGCTATGTTCAAATGTTTGTAGTGCATTATGGGATATCGAATAATTTTCGTAACCACCTAAAAAGTCACTTCTAGTGCTTACTTTATCTTGGTCATACTTTTAGATGAGTTATTTATTATATTGTATATGTATCTAAATCTGTGAAACCATGGTTGTAAATCGATACATAATGTCTTGAATGCTAATTAGACGTAATATGTTTTTACGTAGGTAATAATGATGTACAAATAGCCGGATAATAAATCTATAGAAACTCGGAGACGTTTTATTGACACATCTAGAACAACCTGAAAACCCTATGAAATGTTGCTTTTTAATCATATAACATAACTTGGTTAATTTGCTTATTCGCTGACCATAAAAACCGTATTTTCTCCTAATCTTTTGATAAAAAAAAAACTAAAAATAATTAAAGAAGACAATTTTATGCGGTTTAAACGCGAAATATAAAAGTTACTCAACTCCTAAATAACGTATTTGCATTTTAAAATGTAATACCATGGCAACTAAAAACAGCTTCGGTTAGATAAATATCTGCCATACGCCACGTCGTTTTAATATTTAATTATAATAATTAGTAAAAAAACTACGATTACCAATATAATAGATGTTTATAAAATTTAACTGTTTTAGCTATTTCTTATTATGAGTCAGAGAAAAATCGGTTAGCTTAGAATTGCGTAAAACTACAATTTCGTTAACGTGACCTGAACTAAAATTACTTATTAAAATATAATTTTGACGTTGAATCCACTCTATTGCGGGTATTCGGAAATAATTTCTGATTCCACGCTCACTGATTCATGAACAAAATGTATTTTCATTCACGATTCTCCATATTGAATATTTCAACGTTTCCTCTTCAATTTTGAATTGATGCACACTTTTGAATACAACGTGTATTAAATTAATGAAAAGCTTATATTTTTATTCACGTTTTTACCTGTATAATGAAGATATATTTCTATAGACATATTCCAAGGTTTTATAATAATATTTTGTAATTAAGTAACAAATTTATAATGGTTAATGTCTTAAGTCAAAATAAGTCCACCATGCATCTTAAATACATGTTATACGGGTAGATCTAGGTTCACTTTCCAACTAGTAAAATGCTTTTTTTTTGTCTTAAAAATATTGCATAACTCCTAAGAAAATATTTCGATTTGTAAATAAGCCTATGGATTGCCTTTAACATTTTAAAATATTTTTATTATAATGTACTCTTAAATAACATTCTGAATTCAAAATAAAAATAAAAGCCTTATGATTACAAAAATCTGAATCGAAAATACATTCTAAATTATTGTACAATTGCTGAGATAACAAGAATCACCAAAGTAAAGTAAATAAGGTCTTGTAATGGTATGCTTAGGTTCAAATTTCTTTTATAATACCTTAGTTGAAACGGCAAATATCCTTTCGGTTTGAAGATCAACTCAGACAGGCTAATGTTGACAGTTGGCTATTCCTTAACCATTTTAATTATAATTTCAATTAATTTGGTATCAGAAAATCTTTCTGTATTTTTTTTTATAATTTTCTATCAGTAATATCTGTTCTATTCATTATTAATAAGAATGATATTATATTTAACGAACTTATATATTTTGATAGTATGTACCTACTTGTTGCCTTTTATACAACCTAATCCTACGTACATTTATTATTCCACTTTCCGTATAATAGAACAAAAGCGAAAAATTCTATTCACTAGCTTTTGTGAAATGCGTGTGAAAAACGATGTGAAAACTACGCAAAAACATTTAAAAATTTCACATTTCCAGATGAACATTTCCAAAAGCTCAGATAGAGCAAAGCTTTTCAAACAAAAGTTATTCTCGTTAAATAAACATTCTTCTTACGTCATCTAATTTAATATTTTTTTATTGGTAATACTAAGTACGCTTTGGAAATATTCTAGAAAAGCTCAAATGCAAATTTGGTAAAAGCTTTCCTTCATGTTCGATACAACGGTCACCAAGTTAAACACGGGGATAGGGTATATTAAAAATTCAGTTTTCCATTGGGACAGAACCCCCACACAGCTTATTAATAGCCAAGAAGCTTTGCCTGGGACGTACATTGTATGTACCTGTTAAATTAACATACATTAATATACTGTCTATAGTTTACGCGAGTAGTACACATTTAAATTAAAAATAATTTTCAAATAACTTTAACTAATATATCGCGTTTTAAACCGTTAAAGTGTTTTGATTAAGCTGAATTTTATAAAATAAAATCTGAAATGAGCATAGTTTATACCGAATTAAATAATATTCATAACTCACACTTAATAAATCATGACTGTAGGAGGTAGTTAATCCTTGTTCTTAATTACCTGCTGTTTTAGAGCAAAGCGTCCTGAAAGCCTTTAATTAAAACGTAGCTCTGTGTTGCTAGTTCTG